GGAAGGATATTAAAAAAAAAACCTGAATAAATAGTACCATATTCATGGATTGGATAAATAAATATTATTAACATAGTCAATTATCCTCAAATTACTTAATAAACTCAATGCAATTCTAAATAAACTGGGATTTTTGTGTAATCACACAAACTGATCCCTCTACTCATATGGGAAACAAAACTCCAAGAATAGTCAAGATAATTTTGAACATGAACAAGGACTTGAGCATATTAAATATCAAGACTTACTTTTACTTCAACATAATTAAGAGTGTGGTATGGTGCAGGGATATAAAACTAGACCAATGGAATATAGTAGAGAGATCAGAAACAGACTCACATATATATATATTTGATATACAATGGAGGTTACACCAATAGGGAATTGGATTAAGCCACAAAATGTTCTGGATACAAAGTTATCTAATAGAAAATAAATAAAATTGTATCTGAACCTTATCTAACTCACAGAAATTATTTCTAATGGGAGTAAAGAGTAGGGAAGGATTTCTTAATCAAGACACAATAAGGCACCAGTTAAAAGAGAAAGATTAATACATTTTATTACATTTAATTTAAATACCTCTGTAAAACAAAAAGCCGTCATAAACAAAATTAAAAGCCAAGGCATAGCTGGGAAAACATCTTTTCAATGCCCATAACCAGTCGGTATTAGTTTGCAGTATATATGAAGAACTACAAATGAGTAAGAAATAGACAAGTAATCCAGTAGGAAAATGGCCAAAGGATACAAACAGTAATTCACAGAAGAGGAAATCCAAATGCTCCATAATCTAATCAAAGGTGCTCAAACTCAGTAATAATCAGGAATATGAAAATTAAAACAACACTGATTCAAATTGCCAGAAATTAAAAAGGCTGACGACACAAGTGTTGACAAGGGCAGGAGGAAACCAGAGTTTTCATATACTTCTGGTGGAAAGTGTATATTGATACAACTATTTTGAAGATAATTTTGTCAGTATTTAAGCAACTTCATAATGACTATACTCTTTGATCCAGCAATTCCAGTTCTAGATAAATACCCTAGAGAAACCCTAGTTCATGGACAGAACATTGTTTCTAATAGAATAAAGGGAAACAAATAGACGTTCATCAGTTGGGGAATGGATATTTACACTATAGTGTAGCTCTACAATAGAAAGCCTACTAGTAGAATAAATAAAGTAGAACTAAATTTATCAACATGGATAAATCTCAAAAACAAAGTTGAATGAACAAAGCAAGTTGTAGAAATGTAAGCTGTACCCCGAAAACCAAAAACCAAACCTGTTGCCCTCTAACCGATTCCAATACATAGCGACCCTATAGGACAGATAAAACTGCCCTACAGAGTCTCCCCGGAGTGGCTGGTGGATTTGAACTGCTGACCTTTTGGTTAGCAGCCGAGCTCTTAACCACTGTGCCACCAGGGCTCCATAATCTGTACAGTATGATTACATTTAATAATTTTTGAAAACCTGGAAATCTAGCCTATATAATTCTTATAGACCCATCAAGTAGTGAAAATGACATGAATGTAAAACAATCAGCAGTGCATTCTTAAAAGTGCTAAATGATGAGAGAAAAGGGAGGGAAATAACACTGGGGAAATTTTAAGAGGCACATCCGTTATATCTATAAATTTAATTAAAAAACATCTAACATAAATAAGGCATAAAATTAAGATTTCATAAAGTTGGGTGATGTGCACACAGGTGTTTGTCATATTGTTTTGTATTCTTTTCTATATATTTGAAATATTTCACAATAAACTAAACAAATAAAAGAAGTAAAATATACTATATATTATTCTGAATCTTTGATATATAGAGTTAACAATACAGCAAATATTATTTATATAATAATATTTTATTATATTAAAAACAAATGTTTTGGAAGAAACTATTTGTTCAGCAGTCCAGGATTCTTCTGAATCTTCTTACAGACCCCAGTCCATTCACAATTACATAATGCAGAACACAGACAAAATAGTTGGAGATGGACACAGCACACGCACTCAAAGCTGTTTCCATAAAGATTAACAAAGACTGAAGCATACAGACTGTTGAGTCATAGAGCCCAGGTTACACGACGTACTTGAACTGGTGGTGATTTGTCTAGAACATCACCCTTTACACTCACGGAGTGCAGACGGACAATGCTACGAGGCTTTATACTAGGGTCTGCTGTTGAAATAACTTTGATAGAATTCCCAGATTGTGGTACTTCGTTACGTTCCCTATCAGATTTGTTGATGATGTTCAGGCAGGTAAAGTGCTTGACAAACTGCAAACTGTTTAGGATAGAGAGGATCCCTGGGAAAAAAAGAGAAGCCGGAGGAGAGGAATGAAGGAACAACTGAGAGTCACAGAGACATTTTCCTCGATGTTGTTAGAGATAGCTTGACCCTAAACCCTGTGGATCTCTTTGAAATGCCCCAAGCCTTCCAGAAAGCTTTAGTAAGAGACTGGAAGTGTGTGTAAAATAGCTTAAATGCTGCTCAACTCAACAAATTTGGTGCTTCTTTTTGAAAAAATGCCCTGGTGGTGTAGTGGTTAAGAGCTACGGCTGCTAACGGAAAGGTTGGAGGTTCAAATCCACCAGCTGCTCCTTGGAAACCCTATTGGGGCAGTCCTACTCTGTCTTATAGGGTCACTATGAGTCAGAATCTATTTGATGGCAATGGGTTTGGCTTGGATGGGTTTTTTAAAAAAGACATGCATCTGTCTGGATTAGGAAGTATAATTCCATACAAAATTTTAAAGATGTCTTAGAAAAGAGGGTCTCCAAGTGTTGGTGGGTGGCTTTTCAGCATTGGATATTTTTTCTCTCTGCCCTTGAACTGTCTTGGCACCACACTGCACACTCAGGGTCACTAGCCCTCTCCACTTCACTGAGGATTCCCTCTCAGCCCCTCTCCTTTTAGTTATGACTTTGATAATTATTTCTGTCCTGACGTGGAGAGAAAGACAGAAGAAAAGGTGGAAATGAGGACCTGCCCTCTGAGGCAAGTATACCAAACATTTCACACAGCCCTAATCTCCAGTTTGCTCCCTTGTAGGAACTGTCCTGGAAAATGAGTTGGGTTGATCTTTACCTGTTTAACGTGGAAAGCTTGGTATTTTTCCCCCCATTCACCTTTCGTAGCTTTTCACCCTCCCCTTCATCAGGAGTAGATTGGTCCATATTACCCTTCAAGGGCCCTGGAGACACTCACCACAGGTAACAAAGAAGGTAACGATTACGTAGGCAGTGTAGGGGATCCAGGTGATCTTGTAACTAGAGTAGTACACGGATTGACCTTGCCTTAGCTTATGGTGATACAGTAGGAGTGCAGAGAGCAGAAGGATACCTGATGTCCAGACAAAAGGAGAAAAAAAATCCCTTCTGATGAATTTGTTTCCAGTACTCAAGTCTTAACCCAAGAGATACATCTGACTTCCAGGCCTCCACCCTGTCCAACTGCACCTTGTGCAAAGACAGACCCTGTTTCAGTGGTAGCCAGAGAATTGGGAAGGCTGAATTAGTCAGAAACTACAGGCTGGGCCCACAAACCAAGTATACTTCCAAGCCTGAGTTAGGGGAGCCAGGAAGTTACCTGTGAGGAAACTGAGGAAGGCAGTGATGAAGTGGATATATTTGGTTTGAGGAATCAGATAGGTGAATTCCATACCCAGGACCAAGTTAAGGAGGAATGAAAGACTGAGGGTCAAAATCATCATGATCCTGACCACTTCCAGGTCATCTGTTGGAAAGCAGAAGCTGTATTGAGAGAAGGACAGATATTTCTTCTAGGCTCATTTCCACCTGGGGTCCATAAATCTCTAGGTAAAAATGGGAATAGGGTGAAAGATTTGATTAAATAATAAAGAGGGAAGGGGAGGAGAGAATAAAAAGGCAGGAAACTTAAGCTGAATGGGAGACCAGAAGAAAATATTGTCTATCTTGATGTGTCTATATGCCTCTTTCTCCTCTGTTCTTTTCTGAGAACCCATTTCTTGTTAAATCTCCCAATTCACCCTGACCCTGGCACTTTTCTTGTACCAATATAACCTACTTTCCCCGTTGCCATTAATCTTTCTTTCATATCCCTCAAGCTCTAAATGTGCTGACCACCCCGTTGCTACTGCCGAGGCTTCTCAAGTGTCCAGCAATAAAGCCTGTGGGCTTCTAAACTTTCCTCCAAAGCATGCAAAGAGTGAGATTTTGGAGTCTGCCTTGACTGTGTTGATTATGAAAGTGAGCACCCTGCCGCCTGAGGAAGTTGCACCAGAGAATAATGGGCAAACTGGTAAGATGAATGGAAGTCAAGGAAAGATGAACTCTCTCTCTCCACCCGTCTCTTTCCATAGTCTGGTTCTGACCTTCTGGCCAAGTCGTAATGCAACATAGCATCCAGGGACTGTGGTTTATTGTGATTTTTTTTGCTTCCAACTTCAGTTCAACCCATTTTTCCGCGATGGTTCCCATCACCAAGATGACTAAAGACAAGGAGGAGAGGATCATGTTGGTGGTCTGGATACTTCTGATTGATATGTCCACCATGGTCTATGGATTTTCTAGTTGAGACGACCACAAATCTCTCACGTGTAGATTTCTCTTCTCTTCTCTGATTTGATTAGTCACAGGGCAAAATCTGAACTTTGAGTGATTGCTGAGGCATTGACATTGGCAGAAGCTGAAGTATCCTATGGAACAGAGAAGATAGTTCCCACCCTTCACCACTCCTATATCTGGGTCAGCCTGCTGTCAGGGCTGCTAACTGCCATGGAATCATCTACTGATTTGACCCTTGACCCTGGGGCCTAGTGCAGTCAGTAGAAGGACCAAAGGACCCAGAGGTCAAGACAGAGCTATCAGATATAGAAGGATAGGGAGAACTAGAGGCCTTGAAAGAAGTTAGACATGCAAGACTCAAAGAGGTTCAGTTTGAAAGGAAGTAAAATTTAGAGTTAGAATTATATGTCCCAGGATTAGTTGACACTGGGTAGGAAGCAGTAAAGGAGAGAAGGGTTCAAGACATTTGACGTTAGTCTCATCAGTCTGCTAGCTAGCATCACAAAAAGCCATGGACATCCCTAATAATAGGATGTTTTGGAGAAACTTGTGTCCTCATTTAGAGGGCCCAAAGAAGCTTAGTTAGTCAGGCTTCTAGGAAACAGATCAATGCCTTGGACCCAAAAGAACTGGCTTGACTCACAGAGCCTTTGCAGTCTGTCGTTTATAAGGTATAGACAACCATATCTTGTCAGAATTGCCTTTGTAACTTGGCAAAGAAAATTTTTTTGCATTCCTTGAATAGGCAACCAGAGTATATACTAGACTCAGAGCTAAAGCAATTTACTGAAATTGTCCCCCTACCCCTCCTAAAAAAAGCTGTTTATGGAACTATGAAGAAATTGCCTCTCATCTCTGTCTATTTCTTAGACTTCATTGCAGACCACTTTCTTTGGGTAAAACTCTACCTTTTTTCGTTGCCTCAAACATGCTATGCTCTCTGTCTTCCAGATTTCTCCACATATCTTCTTATATTTTTTAAAACAATGCACAATAATGTATTTGAACTTATAGGAAAGGCTTCATGGTTAAGAAAATGGGCTTAGGAGCCTGAGTTTGAATTCTAGCTCTACCACTTACCAGCTGTGCACCCTTGGAGATACTTTCTATTTCATAAGGTTTTGTAGAGATTAAATGAGTTCCTGGAACATAGTAAATGATATATAAGCATTATCACAGTATTCATTCAGGTTCATGAGAAAGAGACTATAAGGCAGGGACTTGCTTGTGGGGAGTTTATTGGGGAATAGTCTTGTGAATCACACTTGTGTTTGAGGGAAGCAGGTTTGAGCAGAAAGAGAGATTGAGCTGAGATATAGTTGCAGCAGAAGCCTTGGCTGAATCCTCCAGAAGCTCTGCATCTTGGATGGCCCATCAGAGTTATCCTAAGTGGAGGCAAGAGGGCCTGGCCTTTGTACAAGACATCAGTTAAGTCATTGAATGCAGACTACTTTTCAGGTGGTGTCTCCCTTATGTCTCAAGTACAATTCCTGGATCTCCCAGGAACCGGAAGCCATAAGAGTCAACACTTCTGGTAGCTGCCAGATTGAGCTCTCATCCTTTACCACTCCTATCTGGGGCCAGCCTGTTGCCAGGGCTGCCAACAGCCATGGAACCATCTGTTGGCTTGACCTTTGACCCTGGGGCCTAGTTCAGTGGAAGGATCAAGAAGATATATAGATGGCACACCACGTAACTCATATTACTATGTCTTACATAATGATGCTTTTATTTCCTTAGAATTGCTGGGTTGAAAGATTTATGCCTTTTAAAAATGTTAATAGCTTGTGGCAATAAGGATTCAAAGATGTAGTCAAATTAGAGAAAGAGATAGAATGTGAAGGATAAGTGAGATATAGGTCAAACTAAAAGTTATGTTTCCAGCTAGGGAGAACGGTAGTTGATGATGCCATTAAACAATACCTAAAATATGAAAGGAAGCATAGCATGGTGAGAAAGAGGAAGAAGCTAGCAAGTACTGGTTTTGGTTAAGTTTAAGGTGCTTGCAAGACATACACTAGGCAGTTAAGAATTTAGTTCTGGAACTTGGGAGAAGGTGGGGCTAGAGATAACAGATTAAGTGGTCATCAGCATAGGGATGGCAGTCGAAACATAGGGGAGGAAGTCACCCTGCAGGGATGTCATACAGAATGTGACAAGTGATAGGGATGAGCATTCTGGAGAACATCAGCATTTATAAGAAAGTGCAGAGAAGTGGTGGTCAGAGAGAATGTTAAAAAAAAAATGTTACTGATAAATTCAAAAGAGGATCAAGTTTTGAGGGGAGGTTGGGCAATGGTTTCTAATTCAGCAAAGAAGTCAAATTAGGTGGATGCTGAACACAGGCCACCACATTTGGCAATTAGAATGTCATTTGTGATTTTGGCTGTAGAATTTTCGGTAGAGTGTTGGGAGAAGTAGAAACGGTAGAAACGGAGATAGTGGCAGTTTTGTTTTGTTTTTGTTTTAAACCAGCTACCTGGATTCAATAAATACATTAAACAGGGGAAAAAGTAGAGCTGTAGCTTCAAGTGGAAGTGCTTAATTTTGAAAAAAGCAGAATAACATAATGAATCCCCATGTATCCATCACTCAGCTTCAATAATCATCCCAAGAATGATTCTGAAGCAAATCTCAGACACCATTTCATCTTTAAATATTTGTTTGTGTCACCGTAAGGATTGATTTTTTTTTTCCATAGATTTACTCTTTCTCTTTTTTTTCCTAATCTGGTTTATCAGATGGTTATCAGCTTTGTTGGTTTTTTTTCAAGAGCCTTTTATTTATATATTTATCTATTTTAAAATATTATTTTTAATATTCTATTTCACTACTATCAGCATTTATCTTCATTATATTCTTTTTCCTACTTTATTTTGTTGTTGCTTTTATCTCCTAATTTCTTCAGATAATTTAAAATTTTTCTTTAATATGTCAGGATTTGAGGCTATACATTTTTATCTGCACACTGAATTTACTTTGTCTCATACATTTTGGTATGGCTTTTTCTCCCACTTTATTTCTTTTTAGACAGTTTTTAGTGTCAGTTTTGATTTCACCATTGATTCAGGAATTACTTTGAAAAGAGTTTCTTAATTACCAAGCAGCTATGGATTTTAGGGCAACGTTTTTTCTAATTGTTTTCCTTTGTTAAGAAATGAATTAAAATAGGAATATAGCTTTAAAAAAATTTACTTTTTGTATTTGCTAAGGTTTTCTTTGTGATCAGGCATATGATTAATATTTTGAATATTTCATGGACAAATAAGTGAATTTCTTAGACAAATAATATACATTATATATGATGTAAGGTTATACAAAGGACTCTGGGTGATACAAACAGTTTGTATACAACTACTAACCTAAAGGTTGGCAGTCTGAACCCACCCAGTGGTGCCATGGAAGGAAGGCTTGGAGATCTACTTCCATAGATTACAGCCAAGAAAACTCTATAGAGCAGTTCCACTCTGTAACACATGCAATCGCCATGAGTGAGAATAGACTCAACCAGCAACATTTTTTGTTGTTGTTGTTTAAGGTTATACAAACTAGTTTGTGTGTGTGTGTGTGTGTGTGTGCTTTAGGGGAAAGTTTACAGCTCAAGTTAATTTTTCATTTAAAAATTTATACACATATTGTTTTGTGACATTGGTTGCAATCCCCCAAAATTGACAGCATGCTCCCCCTTTCTACCCCAGGTTCTCTGTGTCCATTTGTCCAGTTCCTGTCTCTTTCTGCCTTCTCGTTCTGCTTTTGGAAAGGAGTTGCCCACTTGGTCTTGTATATTTGCTTGAACTAAGAAGCACATTCCTCACGTATGTTATTTTTTGTTTCATAGGTCTATCTAGTCTTTGTTTGAAAAGTAGGCTTCTGGGAATGGTTTCAGTTCTGGGTTAGCAGAGTGTCCTGGGGCCATAGTTTCAGGGGGCTCCTCCAGTCTGTGTCAGAAAGGTAAGTCTGGTTTTTTTTTCATGAATTTGAATTCTTTTCCACCTTTCTCTCCTGCTCTGTCCAGGACTCTCTGTTGTGATCCCTGTCAGAGCGGTCATTGGTGGTAGCCAGCCATTATCTAGTTCTTCTGGTCTCAGGCTGGTGGAGTCTCTGCTTTATGTGGTCCTTTAATCCTTGGACTAATATTTTCCTTGTGTGTTTGGTTTTCTTCTTTCTCCTTTGCTCCGGGTGGGATGGGACCAACAGATGTCTCTTAGCTGGCTGCTCGCAAGCTTTTAAGATCCCAGATGCTACTCACTCAAGTGGGATGTAGAAGGTTTTCTATAGGAACTCTATTATGCCAATTGACATAGATGTCCCCCAAGACTATGGTCCCCAGGCCCCAGGCACAGCTACTTGGTCCCTCAAACTGTTTGGATGTATCTAGGAAACTTGTTTGCTTTTGCTTTGGTTCAGTTGTGCTGACTTCCCCTCTATTGTGTGTTGTCCTTCCCTTCACCGAAGTTGACAATTGTCTACTATCTTGCTAGTGATTTCCCTTTCCTCCCTCCCCACCCTCGTAACATCAAAGAATGATTTTTTCTGAGTGTAAACCTTTTCTTGAGTCCTTATAACAGTGATCTCATACAATATTTGTCCTTTTGTGACTGACTTATTTCACTCAGCATAATGCCTTCCAGATTCACCATGTGAGATGCTTTGAGGATTCATCGATGTTCTTTATTGTTGTGTAGTATTCCACTGTGTGTATATACCATAATTTGTTTATCCATTCATCTGTTAATGGACATTTAGGTTGTTTCTATCTTTTTGCTATTGTGAATAGAGCTGCAATGAACATGACTGTGCATGTCTATTCATGTGACGGCTCTTATCTCTCTAGGGTATATTCCTAGGAGTGAGATTGCTGGATCACATGGTACTTCTACTTCTAGTGCTTTAAGGAGGCATAAAATCATTTTCCAAAGTGATTGCACCATTTTACATTCCCACCAGCAGTGTATAAGAGTTCCAATCTCCCCACAACCTCTCCAGCA